TTATGACTTTTTGCATGAAAAAAATATTGAAAAATAATTATTTTGAATATTGCATAAATTAAAGTAAATCGCGAGAAAGAAAGTTATTACGAAAAAACAATATACTTCATTATACAATATAATTCATTTTAAATAATTTAAAAGCTATTTTTTTATATTCTGTCATTGGGGGTGGTTTTTAAGGGTTAAAACAATGCGATAAATTATAAATTGTATTGTATTGTTACCTTGTAACAGGTAAAAGAATTTAATTTATCCTGTTTGTACTAGGTCATTTCAAACTGTTAAAAACTATATTTTCTAATATTTTGTAATTAGGGGTAGTTTTTTAAGGGTTGAAATATTGTAATAAATTATTTATAATACCATAAACTATTGAACATATTTTTATCTATAATATATGCGCTATAAAAATATTTTAAGGTCAAAGAAACCATTAATTTTGTATTTTTATCATTAGGGGCGGTTTTTAAGGGTTGAAATAACGTGAATTATATCCCACAATATAAAACAATATTTATTCTATATATTAAGATATGATTTTAGTCTATATAACGCCCATTTTTATATTTATTCAGTTTTTTAGCATAAGGGTGGTTTTCATCCCCTAAAAATAAGAAACGCATATCAAGCGTATATAACTTTTCATCTACAGTGTTAAATAAGCTTAATTGCAAATTTTTATGAAAATCGGATCTATCCGAAAGTATTCGGAGGTTTTACCCTATTTTTCTCTTCGCTCCATGGACTATATTCCATATCTCCTGAAACCCTGAAAATGCCGGCAATAAATAATAAAACAGGTAATTCGAGCGGGAGATTAATCCTTTATCCAACACGGAAGCTGTTCTGAAAACACTTTTAAAAAGCGCTTTGAGGAGCTTCAGAAGGATGTGTTCCAGGGAACTAATTTTGTGTTGAGCTAGGACTCGCCCTAACTAGGGCGTGCCGTCGCATAATGTGACTCTCAGCTGCAAAATACTTGTGTTAAATATTCATCAGTGGGAACGGCTTTGGTAATTCGACCGATAAACGGGGACTAACGGCCCTTTTATGATTTTATTTCGACGTTTTGTTTAAGGAAACAGAGAATTGAAAAGGTAAATTCGTTTCACAACTAATTATATTTGGATAGTGTTTGTACAAGGTGTGCCATTTTGATAAAAATGTAATTTTTTTTGCCTTTCTGGGAAAATGCAAGTTTAAACTCTGTAGAATGGAAATAGTGGCGGTAATTGAAAAGATATTGCTCCTGTAAACGTTTTTCCAAAAGACGTGGTCTTCGAATTAAATTATATCTGAAACAGCCTCTAAATCGAAACCGATGACGTGGCAACTGGTTTCTGTTAATTCTAACCAAGAACATTGTCAATATTTTTGACTGAATGTCGATCTATATTCAAATTACAATTCCCGAAATCAGAATAAACATGAAACGGCCCTTAAATACGTAGACAAATAAGCATATGCAATTTTATAATGCAAATGTAACTGGGTTTCTACGTTTTGATTGCCGGTATCCCCAACCCAAGTCAAATCATCGCGTTCGAATAGAAATAAACGTATCGAGGTTCGGTACCGCTGATTATTCACTTGTTGAACGAAACAAAGTACATTGTGTACCAGAGGATGTTGGCAATGAACGAAAAATGTCGCGAGCAGCAAGTGGAACCAATTACCAACTCCATGGCAGTTTAACCAAACCACCATGACCCGAACACAGTTACGATTTTTCGTTCGAGTTATTCGCCGACGTATACCTGAACCTTTGGTATCTGTGAAAGTGGAAAAGTCACTACAAAATGTTACTCTTGTTCGTCGTTTGGTGTATTCTTTAATTGCAGTTCGATGTACTTTCATTAAAATGGTTAAAGGGCAAATGTTTTTGCTTTTCCCAAGTAATATATACTTGTATTTCAAGATAATCTTGCTCTAGACAGAGGCATTACACGTTCTTTCGTGTTTCATTGTGGTTGATCCAAATTTAATAATTAAAGTAAGCAATTTTTTTGTACGTAACGATGCTATTCTCTCTCTACCACATCAATATTATTTAGAAGCACGCACACGATGTGCCTACTTACTTAATTTGAGACCAGCTGCCCATCCACCATCAATAATTAATCGTACGGTTCCAAACAAAGGCTAGCTCGCGTTGAAAAACTCCCTTCCGTAGTCGCGATTGCGCAAGGTACTAATTAATAATTAACAATGGACATGGCAATTTAATTACTGCAGGTACTACCGTTCTCTGTCTACCTCTGAGACAGAGAGAACAACGTTTCGTGCTGGCGATGAAAGGATTTAAACTTTTCCCTATTCCTTCCTGTGATCGTAAACATAGGCGTACCGAAATCGAACGTGTTTAATGAAGAAGTGTATATCATTGAATACTAGAAAGGAAGGACTAGGATGTGTTTCCGTCTTGTTAAAACGAGTCTGGTATACGAAAGGATCAGATTGTGAAAATTCATTACAGGTACAGAGAGCCTGTAGCTGAGACTGTGCGTTAATTACGTAGAATTTTCGGTAGAAGAAACTCCCCGAATGAAACAACTGTGAAAAGATTAGTATGTTTGAAAATTCCTTCGATCTTTAGGGGTTCCGCAAGGGTCAGTCCTGGGACCCCTGCTGTTTGTTATTTTTTATTAATGATCCAACTGAATGCCTCGAAATTGTTCTTGGAATCTTCTATTGATTGTACTTGACAACTTATATACATAATTGGTGTTCAGTTAATGATCTACCTCTGAATGGTAAAACTACGCCCTACAATCGACGCAAAGGTATTCTGTATAGAATGTTATAAAATAAACATCAAATAATAACTTACGCCTAAAGAAGGGTCTGTTTATTTGCCTGTTAGAAAAACTTACGCGCACACCCATGCCTACCAGCTACAGGTAAATAAAAACGGCGTTCGGTTTCATAACAATAATCGGATTTCTAAGCAGGGATCGTCGTTATTCCATTTCGATATCTCTTTTTCATCCTGCGCTCGCAAAATTGATTTTATCTCGTCTTCGATGGGGATCTCAAAACCAATCTGTGCCTCGATCGTGTGACGTTTTACAACTTTTATGAAAACTCCCTCGTGCGTGATATGGGGACCTAGTTTCGTGAAGTGACGTTCACTCTGGGGATCTGGAAAGCGTTGTTGTTAAATGGAATCGGAGGGTATCAAGCATTGTCTTAAGGGGGGTAAGAAGATAATCTTTAGTCTGAGAACTACCTACTAATTTTTTATAGTGTAGAAAATGCTCAAAATTTTGTTCATGGTCTCTGAAAACTGAATATCTCGTAAAACATTTTAATTTTTTGTAAGGCAGGCACTTTAGACTGGCATGTCACAATCTAAAAAAACATCACCAACATAAAATGAGAATAATAGCTGAAATGCCGCGTCATCTTTGACCGACTTTTGAGTTGAATGTGTTTATCTCAATTTCATGAAAACCATCTGTAAGCCTCTCGTTATGAGTGAACGTTTACGTTTTGCGCTTGTTTATTGTCTCGTTTATGTTTTCCAACCGAACACTCGTAAAAGTAATAATTATATCATTCCGAAATGAAGGAACAAGGAACATAATATCATGATATCGGTCAACATAACATCTCGAAATTTTAATAATTATGAATCTCTTAAAACAGGAACTTGACTTTTACTTAAAATATTGCTTATTCCTTTTTTTCAGATTGTCAATTGAAATAATGTTAAAAAACCGTTACGTAAATGACTATAATACCTTTTAGGTAAAATTGTTTCAATTTACAGCTAGAATAAAGTCAGTTTTCGACAATAGAAAGAAAAAAATTAATGTGCGTACTGAAAATAGTAACTGAAACACTACCGACATCAAAAAGTGTTCTCTCAACGACTTATATAAATAGTACTTAAGACTTAGGCCGATGTAACGATGTATCAGTATTGAAATGGTTTGTTTCCATTAATACAATGTGTCTCGCTGGTTATTTATTTTATTTTTTTTACAATTATTTTTTATTAGTAGTGTAGGTACAAACATAACTTAAATTAGCAGCTTCATTTTAATGGTTTCAGTTAACATTTTTGTTTATAAGATAACCGTAGTTGCACAGGGTGTTCCTCTAGTAACGCCTAACTTATATTTAAGAAGATATACCAAATAATTAATAACTTTTTTTATATGTATTAAGACGCGGCATATGGTTTTTATCAGTCAAATTATAATCCTTATTAAAGCAGTATTTATTTATTTTTAGTCTTAATAAGCATCTAAGAAAATTCGGGCCTTACAAAGAATTTATTCGTAGTTTTTACCAGCATGACATGCTGCTTACTAACAGAAATTATTACTCTGCATATCGTGACTTGAGGCAGAATTGAGCATTGTGGGTATACGGCGCCGGTAAACTATACGAATTAGTTCGTTCAGTTTAAAAGGAAATTTCAAATTATGCGTTTCCATTCAAGGCAATGTTATTAGTGGCCAATTAAATCCTAAGAAAGTGTCGCAGCGAAATCAGCGAATGCGCTATTTCCAGAGCTTTCATGTTACAACTGATCAGTTTTAATTAAAATAATAAATAAAATATAAATTGTGACGGTGTTTTTTTTCTACTTGATAGTACGATTAACTTATACAGTGTGTTTGACGACTGTGTTCCGAGAAGGGCAATTTTATTTATTTGCCATTGTCTTTTGCCTTAAAATATTATGTTTATAATATTTTTTCCTCACTATGTGCAGTATAATGTACCGTCCTAGAGCCCACTTGCAGAGACATAAAAAAAATGTGGTGTATGGAAAATTACGGCTTCTGAACCTCTGCCTACTGGACTAAAGAGGTTTTATTGAAGTTCTGGCGTTATATATTTACAGGGTATTCATTTAAAAAAATAACGTCTAACATTAACACATTTATAGTATATATTATCATAAACTTTGAATAATCATTTGAACTCATTTTGTATTAGTTGTTTTTTAATCTAGATTGTTATAGTTTCTCTTTTTTTTTCAGACTGATCCGAATACGGCTTTTTTAAGGGCAGCTAGAGCGGGACAGCTGGATAAAATCCAGGAATATCTGGATTCGGGGACTGTTAGGGACATAAATACGTCAAATGCGGTAAGTTCTCGGTTTACGGTTGCTATAATTGTAATTAAAAATAAGAATAGGTGATTTTCGAGTATATCTAATGTTTTAATTGTGGTGAAAGTTATCAAATCATCAGCATAAAGCGAGTAAGGCAGATCTAATACATCAGTTACGCTGTGGGCTGTGTATAAATATATTGAGTAATAATGGTCCCGGAACAGATCCCTGAGGTGTGCGGTAAGGGGCTAGAAATTAAATAGATTTAAATTTGCTTATTATTTTATCGAAAATTTGCCAGAAACACCGTATTCAATCGCAAAAGGTAAAGATTAAACAGTAGCAGTTGCAAACATGGAATTTGACCTTGCGCAAGTCTTAAGTGGGATTAGTGTGTCAGGGTTATTTATGTTTGATTAATTCGTCCATTATTTATCTTTTTATGAATGTAATTACGCGGTTTATTGCTGCAAAATTTAAAACTCGTTCGTTCATGTAAGATTTTTCGTGTTTGCTTCACTTCTTTGCAACAAATACGCGCAAATAGAGCAAACAGAGTCTTGTGTCAGAATTAAATTGTTCGTACGAGGTTTGATCAAAAATTAACGGGAATTGTTAATTTTCACAGAAAGTATTTCATTAATCTTCAGTTTTTGTGTCATCCCCCTGTTATATTCGATGTATTCTTGGCCTTCCTGGAAACATTTGTACCGTTGCGTTGATAAACTCGTGGCTATGACATAATGTCGTCGCCAAAGGCCTTCTTTAAGGCCTTTGATACATTTCGCTGCACTTAATTCCGTTTTTTACACAAACTCCGATTTCTCCATAAAAATCGCCAAAACACTGAGGTAAGTCTTACTCGTTTGCTCGCCAAATACAAACTAAGTGTGGCAGCTGCCTAAAAATTAACAAGTACGTCACTGACAGTGCTACAAATACACAAAAAAAGGACTGACTCGATAGTCAAGATACGACACGCGTAATTTGAAAATTTCCTTTACTTTTTGATTGATATTGAATAATCCTAAATATTTTGACCACCAAAAACAGCGGTGACAATGTTTTTAACATTAAGGCGATGTTTCGCATTGTATTAGCTATGTCCTGTCCAAATTTGGTTAGTGCAACTCTCGGTTTCAAAAATTCAATACCTATGTATGTTTTCAGCCGTGAAAATTGAATAATTCCAAATATTTTAATGAAATTTTAAATTTAATAAATGTTTTGAAATATTTTTATATGAAACGAAAACAAAATTGATATCTCTTTTAAAAGGTTATCAACTGACATTAAAAATGTGTTTAGATTTGGTAATTTGTACATAATATGCTGACATTAAATGAAAATATTTATTTTAATCGTGGAAAATCTAGAACAACTTGTTTCTAATAGTTATATTCAAGGTTATTTTTAACATTTAAATCAAACATAACTAGTCGAAATTTCGAAAAATTTCGACCTTTGAATAGAATAAAGATTAGCAACAAATCAAAACTAAGACAGACTCATCTATTACATTTTTAGGACATTTTGTGCTCGAAGTTAGTCTTTTTGCGTCTTGTTATACTACAACCCGACAATATAGTACTCTATTTGAACTTTGACATCAAAACTGTCACTTGGAACGTAGGATCAGAGGGTCAGAATAGTGAATAATATAGTTTCTGTCCACCCCATGAACATTAAATTATATAATCTACAAAATGTATCGTACTTTAAAATAATTTATATGCAAATTCCTGCGACTGCCTATCACAACTGATAAAACTAAACCAATATTATTGTAATGTAAATTATTATGGTATAATACAGTCACACCACATACCTTTTCTATGATACGAGGGTCAATGGAAAGTTTTACCATGACGAACCGTCTAAAAATGTGTAAGGAGATTCAACTCTTTAAGTCGTCGCCCTTTGTATCATATTTTTATTATTTGCTGGGGATTAATTACTATTTTTTTTCCTAATTTACAGTGTCGAAATGCCCAAAAAATAAAAACTGTTTGAAAAATGCTAAACAAAGTAATATTATTAGACGAAATCATTGAAATACTTCATTAAAAGAGGTTAGAACGTTTCCCTTAATGCAATCGAGATTCAAGCATTGCAATATTGGGCTGTACGTTATAAAAGCTAGAGAAGAGTTGCCCAAATTTTATTTTCTGTGATAGCTCTGTTCTTATGTTATGTAAACCTTGGTTTTATTTGTAAACCGTTGGCAATTCGTTTACTTTTATTAACTGATAATCGGCGTACCCTCGTAACTTGCTCGGACCCGGTGAAACGAACTCCTCAAATCCACACCGGCTAGTCTATCGTCCGATCCCGTCCCGTCGGCCTCTCGATGTCCTCATCATGCGAAGTCGTCCTGATATTCCTTAAATTCCAGAACGGTCTCAACGCCCTTCACCTCGCCTCCAAGGAGGGACACGTGGAGATCGTCAGGGAGCTGCTGAAGAGGGGCGCTATCGTCGACGCCGCCACCAAGAAGGGCAACACCTCGTTGCACATCGCTTCTCTTGGTAAGTGAACTAATTGGTCGGCAGCGTATTCCCTTTGAAAATCAAATTAAGCGCCGCGATTTTGGAGCTACGCCCTTTTCAACGTGTAGCTCACAAAGCGTCGGTCGTAACCGCGAAGTTAATTAATTTAATTCAAAAAAGTGAAATGGGTAGTTATAGAGAAAGGAGGAATGAAGGTGCTTTATGTTTCAAATTTCCCGCGTTTAAGGAATAGTTCTTGGCGCAACCGTTTTGAGCGCTACTGGTCTTTAGTTTTTTGAACTGAGACACCAGTCTGTGCTATTCAATCTGTGTTAATAATTAATTTTTCATGACTTTGTTACTGTTTTACTTTTTACACCAATTTTTGTGGTTTTGGAAGAAAGTTGCTGACATCAGTGACGTACCTAGTGACTGTAAAATACCATTTTTAGTAGTACTATTGGACAATGACCAGCGGTGTTCTCTGATTTGTTTCCTTATTCACGATGTGACAAAAACTATTCGATTGTTTTTAGTCCAGTAAAGCCGTTATACATTTTTCAGTGTTTACTGTAAAGTCACAATAAATACAAACGTAGTACACGAAAAAAAAAAAGAAACAGTTTGAACGAGTCATGCCAACGTACTTGTCATTATTTCTCTCGGCAAGTTGGAAGTCATGCTCTGCTTCCCTTATAATTACCGAATCCCACAACGTTCACAAAAATCCTATGCAACTACAAGTTATTCGCAATGCATTTTTCAATTTGTGGACGGATAAGTATTGTCTTCGTTGGTTCAGTTCATGTTAATTAGAGGCTTATTAAATTTGAATACGCACCGTACCACATGCGGAAAATGACAATGTTTGTAATTTAAAGATTGTAAAATTTGTGTAGAACGATTCTACTCAGTAATTGCTTTTTTTTATTAAAACGCAGCGTATGTAAACCAACAAAAATTCTGGAAGCGTCCATGTAACGATTGTTACAGAGGTACAAATGAACTACTGCAAAGATCTTAACCTTAAAAAACTACATTGTTACTTTGTTTACCTACATTGTTTTTTTTTTTAATTTAAAATGAGATGAGGCAATTCAATTAAGATAGAGTATTTAGGTTTTTTTCATCTATAAATCCTAAAAATATTAAACCTTACATGTCTTACAGTGAAGTGATTAAAATGTTTTAAGTAAAGTTTAAGTCGATCGTTGACTGCTTGATGAATTTTCAGCCGGACAAGAAGAAGTGGTCCGGTTACTGGTGCAACATGGCGCTTCCCTCAACGTTCAGTCCCAAAACGGATTCACACCACTTTATATGGCTTCACAAGAAAACCATGATGGTGTCGTTCGGTATTTACTGTCGAAAGGAGCAAATCAAACTCTTGCCACGGAGGTAAAAGCTTTTTTTTATTTTAGTCATATGCGTAATGTTTTTTTTGAGCTTAGTGTGAATTTAATTACTTCGTTTACAATAAAAACTAGTACTTTTTGAACGAATATTAAAGCTTGCCGATAAACGTTTATTACTTTTTACTATATTCGTTAATTTTATATCCCTTGGAGAATTTACCGAGTTAAGCAGATTTTGCTGTAAATATATGTTCACATCATTAATTATTTCATGTGATGAAAAATATTAACAATATTTATTTAAAAAATATATTTATTTTCGTCTGCAGAGTAAAATACAATTTTGTTCACTTTTCACACCAAATTTTTTTATATTTTACATTTTACATCCTTAAAAACTTGAATATACATACAATTATTTAACGTAGGATGGTTTCACCCCTCTCGCTGTTGCCATGCAGCAAGGCCACGACAAAGTGGTCGCAGTACTACTAGAAAACGACACGAGAGGCAAAGTAAGATTGCCGGCGCTGCACATAGCCGCCAAGAAAGACGACGTGAAAGCCGCTTCCCTCCTCCTCCAAAACGAACACAACCCCGACGTAACCTCAAAAAGTGGTTTCACCCCTTTACACATAGCCGCCCATTACGGTAACGATAAAGTCGCTTCCTTGCTTTACGAGAAAGGTGCTGACGTTAACTACACCGCTAAACATAACATAACGCCCCTCCACGTCGCTTGTAAATGGGGGAAGATCAACATGGTCACGTTGTTGGTGGCGAAGGGTGCCGACATCCAAGCGAAAACTAGAGACGGTTTGACGCCCCTTCATTGTGCAGCCAGAAGTGGTCACGATCAGGTTGTTGATATGTTGTTGGAGAACGGTGCTCCGATGCATGCCAAGACGAAGGTAAATATACCACACTTTCACAGTACGTTTATAAATGATTTTATGACCAGTAATTCTGTTCGGAAACGTAAATACAATGGTTCATTATAAGTTTTGCGATTTTTAGTTGACAATGCCAATCGTGCAATGTTGGTTGCCTAAGCGCGCAAGTTTCCTGGTTTGTAATAATTTATGAAGGTTCTATATAACGCATTGTACTTTGTTCATAGAACGGTTTGGCCCCCTTGCACATGGCTGCACAAGGCGAACATGTAGACGCCGCCAGGATTTTACTCTACCACGGAGCTCCTGTAGACGAGGTAACGGTGGATTATCTGACGGCCCTTCACGTCGCCGCCCACTGCGGCCACGTTAGAGTGGCGAAATTACTCCTAGACAGAGGCGCCGACCCTAACGCTAGAGCTTTGAACGGTTTCACGCCCCTACACATAGCCTGCAAGAAAAACCGATTAAAAATGGTGGAGCTTTTACTGAAACACGGAGCTAGTAAGCATATAATTTATTTCGGTACGTTACGTTTACTTTAAACTTGCTCTTAAACAGGTATAAGCGCCACGACTGAGAGCGGCCTGACGCCTCTCCACGTCGCCAGTTTCATGGGATGCATGAACATCGTCATCTATTTACTTCAACACGACGCCAGTCCCGATATACCCACCGTCAGGGGCGAAACCCCGTTGCATCTGGCCGCTAGGGCGAACCAGGTACTTATGCTTAAAATAAATTGCCGCTACGATTCGCTACATAACTTTATTGCTTGAAATAAATAGCTACATTTCGCTACGTAACTTTATTGCTTGAAATAAATTGCTACGATTCGCTGCATAACTTTATTGCTCGAAATGAATCGCTACGATTCGCTACATAACTTTATTGCTTGAAATAAAGCGCTAGGATTCGATTTATAACTATTGCTTGAAATAAATCGCTACAATTCACTACATAATTTATTGCTTGAAATGAATAGCTATGATTCGCTACATAACTTTATTGCTTGAAATAAATCGCTACGATTCGCTACATAACTTTATTGCTTGAAATAAATTGCTACGATTCGCTACATAACTTTACTGCTTGAAATAAAGCGCTAGGATTCGATATATAACTATTGCTTGAAATAAATCACTACAATTCACTACATAATTTATTGCTTGAAATTAATTGCTACGATTCGCTGCATAACTTTATTGCTTGAAATGAATCGTTATGATTCGCTACATAACTTTATTGCTTGAAATAAATCGCTACGATTCGCTACATAACTTTATTTTTTCTGAACAGACGGATATAATAAGGATACTTCTTCGGAACGGAGCGGCAGTCGATGCAAAAGCGAGAGAAGAACAAACGCCGCTGCACGTCGCCTCCAGGCTTGGCAACGTCGACATCGTCATGTTGTTACTGCAGCACGGCGCCCAGCCTCACGCCACCACTAAGGACCTGTACACGCCGCTTCACATTGCCGCTAAGGAAGGGCAAGAGGAAGTAAGCGTTATTTGTTATTTATTTAATTATTTGTCATTTATTATTTGTTTTTTATTTAGGTCGCTTCCGTTCTGCTGGACAACGGCGCCGACCTGACCGCCACGACCAAGAAGGGCTTCACGCCCCTCCACCTGGCGGCGAAGTACGGCCACCTAAACGTGGCGCGTCTCCTGCTCCAACGCGACGCGCCCGCCGACGCCCAGGGAAAGAACGGCGTTACGCCCCTCCACGTCGCCGCCCACTACGACCACCAGCCCGTCGCTCTGCTGTTGCTGGACAAGGGCGCTTCGCCCCACGCCACCGCCAAGAACGGACATACTCCGCTGCACATTGCTGCACGCAAAAATCAGGTAGGCGAGAGCTGTTGCCGTGTAATTAGAGCTCGTGTTGTTCCCAGTAATTGTTTTCATTTTTACGGTAATCCGAGTGTGACCGGCTGACATGGTATTTTTTTTTAAATGAGCTGGTTTCACATCGGCGATGAAATTGTACACTCTCTCTCCTTTAATGGTTTCAGTTGGTCTTCTTGGAAATTTGTCTGTTTTTAACGAGTTGCGTAATTATTTAATCGGATCTGTATGGTCCGGTGGGTTGCAACTGATCATGTTTATTGGCGATTTGTACGGGGAAAATTATGTTTTATTTTTTTTAAATCTGCTTTTTAGATGGACATTGCAACAACCTTATTGGAATATGGAGCTCAAGCGGACGCAGAGTCTAAAGCTGGATTTACACCCTTACACTTAAGTGCGCAAGAAGGCCATTCCGACATGTCTTCCCTGCTATTAGAACATCAAGCCAATTCCAATCACGCAGCCAAGGTTAGTTTCATTTTTTTTCACTATTCTGTACGTTGCAGATTGTTTTTTACCTGTTTACCATCCCTTCGTATCATGCCAGGTGTGAAGACAGCTGGCAGTAGTGACTTTTCAGAAGTATACAGCATTTTAACTGAACAGCAGAGCCAAACTTCCGTTGCCTTTCGCAAGCGTTTGGAATAGGATCGTATTCTGGTTAAATTTAAACTGTTCACCATTTTATTCTTGTTGCTAGCTCCGATTGGTCGCTGAAGTGTCCGAACAAGAAAAGGAATGTTTAGTTTAGAATTTTGCAACTTTTTGCCCGTTACGATATTTTTTTCCCCCATTTTAGAACGGTCTTACGCCGCTTCACCTCTGCGCCCAAGATGACCGAGTCCCGGTCGCTCAACTGCTGCTGAAAGCCGGCGCGCAGAAGGACGCCCAGACCAAGCAGGGCTACACGCCACTGCACGTCGCCTGCCACCACGGCCACGTCAACATGGTACGCCTCCTGATCGAACAAGGGGCCGAGGTTAACCCCGTCACATCGGCGGGCTACACGCCGTTGCATCAGGCCGCGCAGCAGGGACACGTCCTCGTCATCAGCCTGTTGTTGAAGAATAAGGCCGATCCCAACGCCGTGACGAATGTAAGCGCGTCGCTTAAGCCGATGCAGTCAAAAATTAAACGGTTCTTTTTTTAATTTACGTGCGTTTTGTTTTCAGAGCGGCCAGACGGCCCTGGGAATAGCGAATAAACTTGGGTATATCAGTGTGGTGGAGGAGCTGAAAGTGGTTACGGAAACGAACATCACTACGACGACGACGGTGAACATAGAGGAAAAATACAAGGTTGTCGCTCCGGAGGCTATGCAGGAGACGTTCATGTCCGACTCGGAGGACGAAGGCGGTTAGTACGTCGTTAATCACTTATTAATATTCAGCTTTAGAAATAGTGGGGGATCTGTGTGATATTATTTGTCGCTTATCTGTGCCAGAGGAATTAATAATACCGGTCGTTGTAGACTTTTGTTTTTTTTTGTTTTGTTTTGTTTGTACGTTTTTTTTTATATTAGTTACTTTTATATCTCGGAAATGCAAATGTTTGAGGGATATTTTTTATATTAATTTGTTAAATAAATCGTTGCTATTTTGGAATTTAACTGGGTCCGAATCTGGTGTCCGTTTGACAAAGTTGCCATTATTCAAGGTTATTTTAAGGTCAACTCTTGTTTGATACGAGTTTTGTCTACAAATTCTGGAAGAACAGGAAATTTTATATTCAGATACTTGGTCGACTTATTTTTTAAGGTCGTGTTCAAGGTTATTTGAAGGTCAGGTCAATTTTGTCCTCGAAATCTGAAAANGTGGTTACGGAAACGAACATCACTACGACGACGACGGTGAACATAGAGGAAAAATACAAGGTTGTCGCTCCGGAGGCTATGCAGGAGACGTTCATGTCCGACTCGGAGGACGAAGGCGGTTAGTACGTCGTTAATCACTTATTAATATTCAGCTTTAGAAATAGTGGGGGATCTGTGTGATATTATTTGTCGCTTCTCTGTGCCAGAGGAATTAATAATACCGGTCGTTGTAGACTTTTGTTTTTTTTTGTTTTGTTTTGTTTGTACGTTTTTTTTTATATTAGTTACTTTTATATCTCGGAAATGCAAATGTTTGAGGGATATTTTTTATATTAATTTGTTAAATAAATCGTTGCTATTTTGGAATTTAACTGGGTCCGAATCTGGTGTCCGTTTGACAAAGTTGCCATTATTCAAGGTTATTTTAAGGTCAACTCTTGTTTGATACGAGTTTTGTCTACAAATTCTGGAAGAACAGGAAATTTTATATTCAGATACTTGGTCGACTTATTTTTTAAGGTCGTGTTCAAGGTTATTTGAAGGTCAGGTCAATTTTGTCCTCGAAATCTGAAAAAGGGAGCAATTTTGCGTACAGATATGATGTTGATTTATTTCAAGGTCATCTTCAATGTTATTTGAAGATCAACTCTTGCTTCTTGATGGTATACAAGTTTTGACCCCGGATTCTGAAAGAACAGGAAATTTTATGTTCAGATGCGTGGTTGACTTATTTTATAAGGTCGTGTTCAAGGTTATTTGAAGGTCAAGTCAATTTTTGTCCTTGAAATCTGAAACGGGGGGCAATTTTACGTAGAATATGTTGCTGATTTATTTTTTAAGGTCATAAAGGGAGCAATTTTACGTACAGATATGTTGTTGATTTACTTCAAGGTCATATTCAATGTTATTTGAAGGTCAACTCTTGTTTTTTGATGGTATACAAGTTTTGTCCCTGGATTTTGAAAGAACAAGAAGTTGTATGTTCAAATGGGTGATTGATTTATTTTTTAAAATCGTGTTCAAGGTTATTTGAAGGTCAGGTCAATTTTGTCCTCGAAATCTGAAAAAGGGAGCAATTTTGCGTACAGATATGATGTTGATTTATTTCAAGGTCATATTCAATGTTATTTAAAGGTCAACTCTTGTTTTTTGATGGTATACAAGTTTTGTTCCCGGGTTCTGAAAGAGCAAGAAATTTTATGTTCAAATACGTGATTGATTTATTTTTTAAGGTCGTGTTCAAGGTTATTTGAAGGTCAGGTCAATTTTTCTCCTTGAAATCTGAAATAGGGAGCAATTTTACGTACAATATTGCTGATTTATTTTTTAAGGTCATCATAAGTTTATGTTGAAGGTTATTTAAAGGTCAACTCTTGTTTTTTGATGGTATACAAGTTTTGTCCTTGGATTATGAAAGGACAAGAAATTTTACGTTCTGGCACATGGTTGATTTATTTTTCAAGGTCATCTTAAGTTTGTGTTGAAGGTTAATTGAAGGTCAACCCTTGTTTTTTGATGGGAATACAACTTTTGGTCCTCGGATTCTGTTTCAGCGAGAAGTTTTACATTCAGAGAATCTTCCTGAGCTAACTTTGTCAAACGAACACCGGATTTGGATACATCGACTCTCATACATTTAATTTTTTTCCCGTTCTAATTTTACCGGAACATTTCTCGTTTCTGCATAGCCATATTGTTTTGCATTTCCCTTTTGCATTTTTTTTAATGTTGATTTGCCATGTGGTAGATTAATTAACCAATTTATTTAATAGTATATAACATTAAAACTGGTAGGTAGTCTAAAATTTAGTTTTAACTCTGGTTTGTTCTTTTTTTTACGTGTTCCATGTAAAGAAATATGCTCTGAAGTTGTTCCGCGTTAGTAAAATCTGAAAATCTTCAAAAAAAAAAAGGTATAAAATGGTAGAAGTATTAAAAATTTTAACTTTCAGAGGGAATATTTGAAATTCAGCGTTGAAGAAAATTTGCTTTTAATTTTTTTTCCGTTAATAACTTTCGTTATTTATAACGGTTTGACTAAGAATGGCGTTTGACAACCTTTTCTCTACCTTGTCTTTTTACATCAAGATTCTCATTTCAAATAAGTCTAAAAAGTACAAACGCATGTTTGTGCATGTAATAATTTGCTACATTAATTACAAACTTAAAAAAAAATAATAAAAAGGCAGCGTCTTCAGATCTGGCTCGGCTATCTTTAATTTTAAAATGGTTTTTTGTGTATAAAATACTGTCGAGTCGGAGACAGAATTCAATGAAGAATGGTCAAATTTAAATAAAAAAGTCAGAAATTTTTTTTCCGATTTTAAGATTTGTTGTCGCGTACAAAGGAAAAAGTGTTATTAATAATTTATGTCGTAAAAAATGTTTTTTTTATTTATTTCTCTACGAAGAAAATGCAAAAAAATTTGAGTTTCCTGGAAAATTACCTGGACTACACTTAAACATGATTCACCCGGTACTTTCCGCCTACTTTAATCACGCTTCTTCTCAAATTGACAACTTCAGCATACGCGAAAAGGAACAGAGTATATTTTTTTACGATTCCGGAAATTAATTGCGCACGTAAAAACGGTACGCGTCCGGTTGAGCAAAGCGATGGGGTGGGTATGGGATAGATTTATTAAGAAAACCATGAGCGTGTGTCCGCTAAGGGTGGTGGTTGGTTGCATGCAGGCGGAGTGGACGAGCCTCCCGTGGCTTATGGTCGACCGACGCATGCTCAGCACGTCTATCTACCCTTCTACCAGGGACACATGACCTACACACGTAAGTCCCACTGTCTGTTCCTCCTCAACTAACACCCGTCGTAGTAGTTAGCTTCTTTTAGCTTATGTCCTAACCCCGTGGTGATCACTTAGAGATAACTGCACGGTTTAAAGCCGCTTCGACCATTTTTATTTCATTTAACGTGTACTTGATTTAAGCGTACGTTAAATGAAACGAATGTTATCCCAGTGTTTCTCTTTTTATACAGGACGGTTCTGTCGTTTTTACCAACATTTAAGGCGGGCGTTTTATAGACGAGAAATGGCACTTTTAGAAAGACTTCTTTAATCGATAACTTCGTATTTGTTGGGCATTGCACGCCTATTATCGCCCAAAGGGATTTGTACAGCTTGCTTAGATTTTCTAAAACCTTCGTCGAAAGGCTGATGTGAATTCACTGAAAATTACGCATAAAAACGCCCACTTTAAATGAAAAGAGATTTTGTATTTTGTCAATGACTTTTTTTTGTTGGTTTTTTTAAAGCACACACCACCTTTTTTCTCTACTACACTGAGAGAACAGAAAATTTGAAAATACGTTTAATAGCCGTCAAAAACGTCCCGTAAAAGTTCGATGATGGACATTTTACGGTATTTTTTAATAATCTACTTCCTAAAGTTTAATAAATAAAATCACCACCCTGTATTATCGATTACACAGGTCAACATTTTATCTAGGCTTGTGCACGGGAATCGAAGATGGTATCCTACGGTTTTTGGGGTCGCTGATTACGATCAGTGGGTCGGTTAGGCTCCATCATGTCAAGTTCAAGGTCATTTGAAGGTCAAACGGACAAAAAATCTGAAAAAAAATGAGATCGTTGAGTCCGGATCCAGTGTTTATTGTTTTTTTGCATGCATCCTCGAGGTCATTCAAGGTGATCTCAAGGTCATTTGAGGGGTTTTTGAACCAAATCCGAAAAATTGAAAAATTTCATACGTATGTTTTCGAGGACCCTGAATCTAAATCTGAGGTCAGTCGACCTCATTTCAAGGTCATATAAAGGTCAAATGGTCAAAAAAACCTTCTGAATCTGAAAATATTCATGGACATTTTATTTTTTATTTTTACCGGATTCGGTAAAAACATGAATTTTTTCAGATTTTTTGAAGGTTTTTTGACCATTTGACCTTCAAATGACATTGAAATGAGGTCGACTGACCTCAGATTCAGAGTCCTTGAAAACATACCTATGAAGTTTTTCAGATTTTTCGGATGGTACTTGGCATTTTTGTCTCAAAAACCCCTCAAATGATCTTGAATGACCACGAGGAAGGATACAAAGTAAAAATAAACACTGGATTCGGATTCAGCGACCTCAAAAACATGTCCAAGCATTTTTTCAGATTTTTTGAGGGCTTTTTGACCGTTTGACCTTCAAATGACTTTGAACTTGACATGATGGAGTCTAACCGAGCCGCTCATCGTAATCAGCGATCCCAAAAACTCTAAGATACAATTTGTAGATTTATTTGGAAATAGAAAAAAGATTGATTAATTTTAGTACAAATTCAATTACATTACTCTTTATTACATTATTATTTCTTTAATTCCCATATTTCTTGATAAAAAAAAATCTTAAGCACGCAATTTCCTAAAAATTCTTTTAAGATAATTATTTGCACTTGTTTTCCTTGTGGAATCGTACACTCTTTATAAACAATCTTATAGAATTTTCTTGCTACTAATTACAATAAATATATTTCTATTTTGCAAATATACAGGGTGTTAATTTTATTATCGTAATATCGACATTTACAGTGAGTTTTTTTTATTATGGGATATATTTTGAAAGTCTGCCGTACTTCCAGAGCCCTTTGCGACTGACCGAGAGCTTCTCAAAAAAAAAAAAAGATTGCAGATCTTACGTAATCCCCGATTACTAATTTTACTGCCGACGTAATTTAATACTTCGAAGCGACACATATCTATTTATGTTAATTATAACTTCTTATCAATATTGTATACGTTACTTCTTATCTAGATAGCATCAATACGTTCGAGTGTTTTATCACTCGTTTATGTAATTTCGTTTTAATTGGTGCCGATCCAGCGCAGAGCCGTCCATAACTTTCCTCTTCTTGTTCAGGTGACGATCCACTGTTGGGCGACAAGCACCAGTACAACTACATGACAGTCGACGATATGAAGTCCCTCGGCGACGATTCCATGCGACTCGACGTCACCAGCGACGAGAAGAGCGAGCACAACAGAAACTCGATGGGTAAAAGTCGCAGCAAATAGTCGAACAGTAATAATATGTGATTGAATTTCAGCTCCGTCGCACATTAGTAACGAACTCATCATAACGCCGCACGCCGTGAAGGAGTATTACGCGTCCAACGCTTATTCCGCGCCCGACAACGTGGACATCAACAGGCAGCCGATCACGGCTGGGTGAGTGGACGATTTTTTTTTTTTTTTGTATTTTTTACCCCCTTTGTCCGAACGCAGTGTGCTTACTTTAAAATCGGAGAAGAACGTATTCGCAGCTTCTAAAATTAACTGTCGTTGAAAGAGGTGTACTGATTTTACTTATTTGTGGTAATGTCGCATTTTTTTCAGGTGAAAATTTAACAGTATCAAGACAGTTTGTAAATCGAAAGTTAATTACTTGTTTGTCATCGATATTTCTCCTTGCGGGTATCTTGTGTGTTTATACGTGATGTACGTTAGATAAAGCCAATCTTAAACAAATAAGATTATATTTTGCGTTTTTTCGAATTGGTATACTTTAACGAGTCTTAATCTCCGTTTAGAAATATGTTTGTTTTGTAATATGTGGAGAACTTCGAAAGATATCGTCGTTATTTACTTTTTCTCTGTTATTTCTGGGGGCGTGTAACATATACGACTGATAATATGGCAATTGCAGACTTATGTTTATGGTATCGGAATGATAAAGTAATAAATATAAATATTTGTACGGGATTTTCGTACACGAAAATAATATATTGTAAAAAAAATAATAATAACATTAAATGATATCAAATTGATCGAAACGTCTGTAATTTTCTATAAGCCTACAGAGAATTTGCAATTCTGCATTACATGTAGCTTACGGAAACCCTTACGAAATCGACTGAGCCTAAGGTCATTGGAACGCCACAGGATCTTTTTGTGAGGTTAGGAAAAAACAATATAGCTTCAATAAATTTATTTATTTAAAAAGTGAAACCCGCGATCTGAGACAGATTTTAATATAAACGCTTGTTAAAAGCAGTCTCTTCTGAACTACTCATTTACAACTACTAGGAAAATATACGGGGAGTTCCACCTAAGACTGTAAAGAAATAATGTAGGTCTCGGTATTTCCGAGTCTAGATAACGTACACGTTTTGCTCACAGATGACAAGAAACTGTGAAAACTGCAGGTTTCTAACTCTTACGGTTACGGTGGTTACGGGTGAAGAGAAGTTGCAGTAGTTCATTTGTACCTTCGCAACTAGGATCGTTATAGGTTCCAGAATTGCATAA